GATCGAGTCCCAAATCAGGCTCACGGAGAGCCTGTTTCTCCCTCTCCCCCTGCTCTTCTCTCTCTGTCAAGTAAATAAATAAAATCTTAAAAAAAAAAAAAAAAAAAAGAAGAAGAAGAGGTCCTATTTCAGCAAGGTCTTCAAGGGTGAGTAGATGCTCGCCAGACAGAAAAGCACTCAACACCCCGGGGAATAACAGGCACAAAGGCAGGGAAGGACGAAAGGTCACAGCGGAGCCAGGGTGTAGCAAGAGACTCTGCATGATGGCGTCTATGGCTGGACTCCATGTTAGGCAACGGGTAGTGATGCGACAGAGAGGTAATCTGGGGTCATACGGTCAGTGGCCTTAGCGGACATGTTGAGGAGGGTGAACTCTACCTTACAGGCAAGAGAGACTGAACAAAATTTAGAAAGCAAGGAGTGACAAGTCAGACATATTGAGAGGAACACAATATTGATGGTACTGAAGAGGGCACAAGGACCACCAGGTAGGAGAACAGGAAAACTGTGCCGGTCTGAGACGATAAGTGAGGGCCTGAATGAAAAGAAGAAACACGCTGAGGGGTTATGAAGAGGCAGACCTGCCAGGGCCCAGCGCCTGAACAAGGGACTGAAGCCACGGGTAGAAGGGGAGGACAGCACGATTTTGGATTTGGTGGACAGCACCAGGAGGGCGGCCGCTAGAGAAGAGAATGAACAGCAGGTTCCCTGTAAAACAGATCCTTACCAAAATGTGACTCAGAGCTTGCCACACTTGCACTCCAGACCCTCTCACGGCTTCTCGTGTCATTCAGAGCCACCGCCGACACGCCTGGCACAGCCAGCAAGTTCCCATGTCATCGGGCCATGGCTTTCTAATCTCATCCCTTCTGTTCTCAACTCTCTCACTTCGCACCAGGTGTACTGGCCTCACGTGCTTCTCCTCAGATACACCTCAGGGGCCCTGCTCTTCCCTATGTCCAGAACATTCTTCCTACGAGTATCTACATAGCTTGTTCCCACACCTCCATAAGGGGTTGGTTCAAACGTCACCATGAGAAGGTCTTCCACAGCCACCCTAAGTTGCAATCCCCCACCCTATGGTGCCCTCTGACCGACTTCATCTCCATACCTGTTTGCCCTTCCAACATTCATTTTCTGGCTTTCTTTTTATTTCTGCTCCCTCCCCCCGTCCCACCTCATAAGAAAATAAACTCAAAGAAGGAGGAATCTTCTCTTGGTTTTCACTACGTCACCTCTAATGCCTAGAACATTACCTGCACAGGGCGGGGGAGCTAAGCATCCGTGTTCAATGAAGTCAGTAATGAATGAATATGGATTGTGTTGGGTTAGATGCCTCTGCAAGACTTCCAGGCACAGCCCCCCAGCAGGTAGTTGGAATTGGAACCCTGGAGGTCACAGGGGAGGGCAGGGATCGAGAGAGGTGTAGGATCATGGGGATGAAAGCAGAGCAATCCCAGAAGCACCAAGAGATACAGTAGGATGATGCTCAGAGTCAGATCCAGGAGTCAGACCGCCTGGGCTCAAACCCGGGTCTTGACACTTCTCGCTTCCTAAAAGCCTTGAACAAAATTTTAAACCCCTCTGTGCCTCAGTTTTCTCATCTCTAAAATGGGATTTTAAAAAACCTCCTGCCTCAGAGGGCTGTGGTAAGATGTAAATGAGCAAATACATGTAAAGCAAGGAGATGAGCAAGCAGAGTGGAAAGTACACGGTAATGGAAAGCAAGGGGGTGCACTGAGGAGAGAGGTATTTTCTCTGGACACGAGAGGTAGCACTCAGAGATTTGGAAGCCAGGGTTGGTTCTGGACTAGGTAGTTCCTCATTTCCTTGTGCTCTCTGGTGAACCTACAGAAAGAAGTTCTCTCCACTTTTCTACTTCAGATTAGTTGTTGTCGTTTTATTTCTTTTCTCTATGGTCTTATCAGATGAAACCAAAAAACATCTCTGAAGGTGTTTTGAACTTGAGTACAGTATTCTGGGAGGCGCACAACAGAGCAAAAAGAGCAGGGGCCTTGGGAGTCAGATAAATGCGGGCTTGGACCACCTCTGCTCCTCAGATACGGAGCTTAGTGTGGATCTAAAGAGAAATTTCTAGAAGAGGAAGATAATACCTACCTCGAACACTGCAAGCTTGAAGAAGAGCAGTCAGTGAATGCACATTTGTGGCATAAATGCACGAAGGAGTTGTGAGGACTGAACGGCACCCACTGTAAGGGTAAACACACATACCCAACAGGGAAGCTGCAAAAAGTCTTGCTTTTGTGACTAGCAGCTGGACTGGCATTCCTGGGGCCAGGGCCTGTTGAAAAGGACCCCACGTTGGGTCTGAACTTTCTATTTATTCATGTCATTAAAAAAGTATTTTCCCTTCGTCTTTTAAGAGAATAGATTTCCTTTACTTAAGGGTATGTTGAAGCACTAACCCTTATGATAAGGTGCACTTAAGGTGATTAGATATTGGTATCAGACTTGTTGTAGGTCTTGGAAAGATAAAAGAGCAGCCTTGATAGTTGTTGTTTGCCTTTGAGTTTCCTTTTATCCCCAGGTGTAGGGCTGGCTCTGAGTACAGCGGCTGATAACCTCTGTGTTTAATTCTTCATGTTCTACTACTACTTGCACCATACCAAAGCCGAAAGGCTCAGAAGCTGCTTTAGAACAGTGTGTGTAATCATGTACCAGATGGCTTCTATCTATAAAAACAGTAATAAGGATTTAAGAACTGATCGTATTTTGTGGGTTTGTTTTAAGGGTCCTTTGGATAATTTTTTTTTTCTGATTACCAAAGAATATATGTTCACTTAAGACAATTTGGAAAACTAGAAAACCCTACCATGCTGGCATATGATATTTCTGTATATACCCTGCACACCTTTCACGATGCCACCTCCCTGGGGAGAAGTGTATGTGTATGAAAACAAAATTAAAAGCATACTAAACATTATTATATAACTTGCTTTTAAAATTAACTAATGCATGCATTAAGTCAGTCATCCATCCAAGCAAATTAATTAAATACCTACTAGGTGCCAGGCGCTATACAAAGTACAGAGGATGGGGGAGACAAGCATAAAAATGAAATCACGGAGATAATAAAGGTACATATAAAGTACTACGGGTGCACACAAGAGGGAGCAGAGACAAGCCTCTGCACTGCGGAGGTGTCAGGGAGCATCCTACAAGAGATGACACATGGGCTAACAGGTAACAGGAGTTCACCAAGGAACGGGAAGAGGCATGGCAGCAGAGGATGCAGCAAGAAGGCCCAAAACATGAGATTGTCTGGCTAGTCTGAGGTCCTACCGAAGTCCAGTGTAGGTAACAAGATGAAAGAGTTGGAGAGATAAGACTAGGAAGGCAAGAGCCAGGCAATGAGCAGCCACTGCCGGGTTTGAAGCAGGGGGTTGACATGCTCAGATTTATGTCTTGGTTAGAAAATGTGCTATAGCTCTAAGGATTAAGAAAGAGGGGCAAAGAGAAGAAACTAGAGCAATCCATAAAAGGACTGACCTGGTGAAAGACAGTGAAGATCTAGTGAGAACAGAGATGACAGATAACATCCTGGAACTGAGTGAACTGGAAGTCAAGGGGCCTGGATGCTAGATGGGTAAACATCTTTCCTGCCCCCCTTCAGCAGTTACTGAGAATCAGCCATATACATTTGCATGCGAGGTCCCAGAGAAACAAAGATGAGGGGGCCCAATTTTTATCCCCAAGAGCCTACATTCTGGTAGGAAAGAAGAGATGAACACGTATTATTAGTGCCTGCTCAAAATGCCTTCCCCTCCTTCTTTGGGAACAGGACTCCAATTTTCCTGTGGGGAAACCATCCATCTCCAGCTCACAGTCCATGCAGTTGGAGTGGAAATGGTCATATTTGAACCCAACTCCACGAGTGGGTGCATGAACGAGGCTGGGCAAACGGGAGCATCTCACGCCCCTGAACACAATGACTGGTTCAGGAATAGGCACAGGACTCAAACCAGGCCAACAAGATCACTCCCAGGGAAATCAGATGGAACCAGAAAAAAAGAAATGGCTACCTTCTTCTAAAATCCCATGTGCTTAAGACCACATACTCCTTGGGCTGTCAGACTCCTCCTATGTACGTTAGCAGGTCAGAGCCTAACCAGCATGAAGTCACACAGAGGAGAGGCAACACGACACAGAGAAAAACAGGGATCAGATGACACCTTTTGAGAAGTTAGATTCAGCCATGTACTCCTAGACATCTAAGTTAAGAAAGTCAATAAATTCCTCTTTTGGGCGCCTGGGTGGCTCAGTCGTTAAGCGTCTGCCTTCGGCTCAGGTCATGATCCCAGGGTCCTGGGATCGAGCCCCACACCAGGCTCCCTGCTCGGCGGGAAGCCTGCTCTCCCTCTCCCACTCCCCCTGCTTGTGTTCCCTCTTGCTGTCTCTGTCTCTGCCAAATAAATAAAAAATCTTAAAATAAATTCCTCTTTTGCTATAATGAGTCTGTTGGGGTTTTTATCACTTATAATTGAAAGAGTACTGACTACTTCAGGGAAAGAGACATGGAATCCCATAACTGCAATACAATGTGATAGGCATGATAGAGATATTTATAAGGTACAAGTAGCACAGAACAGAGTATGGTCAAGTCACTTTCAGGTAAAGTAAATCAAGGAAACTTTCACAAAGAAGGTGATGTTTAACTGAAGTCTTGAAGAATTAGCCATCTGGCAACAAGGTAAGAGGCAAAAGGATATTCTACGCAGAAGAACCAGAAGGAGCAGAGGCAAGGAAGTAGAAGAAAGCATGGAATGTCTGGGGACGAAGAAAGCAGTCCACTGTGCCAAAGCCCTAGGTTCACAGCAGAAAGCAGATCGTGAAGGAACTGGGATGTTCTGTGGGTGATGAGGAGTCACTGGATGACCAAGTCAGACCATTTCACTTCTCATTTAACCTCTCCAGACCACAGCTGCTTCTTAGATCAGAACAAATCAATACGAATTGATAAAAATATGAAAAGATCTTACCTGCTGATAGAATTCATCATCCTTGGGGGTCAGATAAGGAAGCCAAGTATCTTCGAGCTCTTCAAGAAGCCTCAGTTTCTGTTTAGAAATAATAATGATTATAGGTGACTGAATATAAAGTGATCAGAATATAAGACAATCCCTTATTTTTCCAGTAAGACAATCCCAAGCAAAACTTAGCCAACCTGAATGTAGAAACTTTTAGAGACAGGAATTAGCCAAATGCCCATTATAAAATGTATTAATTTAATTACATACATTTAAATTACACATTGCATAAAGGGTTAATTTAGAAATAATGATTTTATTCACTCTCATATTCCATGAAACAATTTGATTCACCAATCTTGACATGTTTCTTTAACACCATGGTCTTTTTCATCACTAGACTCGCCTTTTGAGATCCCTATACAGTTTTCCAGAGCAAACCTTCCTGTCTGTATAATGTGCTTGAGACACAGCAGCTTCTGAATCCTTCTATCACACAAACACTAGAAATAGCAAATCAAACCACAGTACCATTTACAGAATGTCAGGATATTTGGAAGATTTATTCATCCTATAAACATTTATTTGATACAGTATCCACTTATGTATTACTTTTTTTTTTTTACGATTTTATTTATTTATTTGACAGAGAGAAACACAGCAAGAGAGGGAACACAAGCAGGGGGAGTGGGAGAGGGAGAAGCAGGCTTCCCGCCGAGCAGGGAGCCCGATGCGGGGCTCGATCCCAGGACCCTGGGATCATGACCCGAGCCGAAGGCAGACGTTTAACAACTAAGCCACTCAGGTGCCCCACGTATTACTTTTTTTTAAAGTGATCATTCATTTCTAGAATAAGTACTAAATCCGTGTTAAGCATCTTCGCTTCTTTTCCAATTTTATAAAGAAACATTTTTAAGCATCCACAGCCAGCACTGTCTGAGGCTCTGAGGCCATTTCTATGTTTTTGCAAACAGTACCATGCTGTTCAAACAAAGTAACTAAGAGAGGACCCCATATAATAGGGTATTTCATAAAGAATCGAATACATATAAGGTGATGTCCTCCTTCTGAAGGATTTTTTTTTTCCAAAGAATACCTAACATATATGGTGTGTGGGTGTGGGTGTGTGGGGGTGTGCGGGTGTGGGTGTGTGTGTACGTGCGTGCGACAGAGAGAAAGAGACCACATGGCATATAAATGGCATTATATGTGTGTGTATATACACACACACTCACATAGGAATTATCTATATACTACAGAAAATTTCTCAAAGGAAAAAAAAACAGAAAAGGCAGAAACAACTGATTTTCAAATAAAACTATAATAAGATGCATATTCAGGCTGTTATCAGCATCTCTGTAGGAATTACAAAATGGTACGCCTTGCTCTGGGTCACTGCAGCCTTATTCCATGGAGTATGGCTTGATGAACACAAACTGGAATTTAGCCCCCACCTGCTCCAATGGACACTGTCTTTATGCAGTCAACAACCTGCTCAACCAGACACAGTGACCCTATCACCCTCCCCTATGCTTTCTTTCACAGACCCATCAGAGTAGTCCAGAGAAAACACCTTTTGGGCAGAACTTAAATCTTTCTGTATCTTTCTGCAAATTATCCAAGGTAAATAAAGAAAAAAGGAGTAGAAATATAGCAACCAGTTGATCTTACAGAGGCAAAACACTCTCATACAAAATTCTGGTCTATTTATTTAATGAAAGCTTTCTGCTTGGACCCAAGGTATTTTCCCATCTACAATGGTAAGACTGGCTTACCAGTTAAACTATGAACAGTTTGCCTTTATGAAGAACCTAGAATACGAACAAAAACCATTAGTTTAGATAAATCATCGGTTAAGTGGCTTATCTGTTTTCAACATTAGCTACTACTTGGGGAACAGAAAGAACTAATGATATTTCCATGCATATACTTACACATTTATGCACTTCATCACAAATTTAATAAAAATCTATACCGCAATTGTCACTCTGACCTCAGGAAAGCCTGTATTTTCCTATGAATCTTTTGCCAGGCCTTTTTATAGACAGGATTCTTAAATGCCCCCAGACAAAATTTAACGCATTATTAAAATCCTTGAATAATTCAAATGCACATGAAAACTCAAACCTTGAAATGGCTCCACCTTATAAATACCACCTTAAAATAAATACATACATACATACATACCACCTGAAGACCTCTTCAGGCAAATCTATAAAGCTCATCTGTGTATAACAAGGAGCACAAAGGTCAACACCTCTAAGGAATTAAATACTCTACCTTAATGAGATTAAACAGCAATAGACCTGTTCTATAGATCAACAGGCATCAGTGGAGGCTGAAATTCTATTTATAATTAAAACTTAAACTACATCATTATAAAAACAACCTACTTCTCAGCTCAGTTGAAGTCCAGTGTATCAGACAGGCATAAAACATTGTAACTTGGAAGGCTGTATCAAAAGGGTAAAATTCTACAGGAATGTTCCTACTACAGAGCAAGGAGAATATAAATGGTCTTCTTTCCACTGGAAATTTTAATTTTGATACTGTGAACATCATTATATCTATATGGCAGGAAAGAATGTGGATCCATATACCTGTAATCTGTTCTGTGTATCAATATTCACAGCCTACAATTTTACCAGTTAACTAAGGAGATCAATTATAAACAATATATTTACGAACTTAAAAAGAACTTTTGGTCATCTCTACCTTGGTGAAATCAATCAGGAATTAATATTAGATTAAACTGGTAGTTCATGAACTTCACATATTTCTTAAGAATTAAAATTGCTTTATAAAAAGGCAAAGTCACTCTGAGCTCGACTACGGAGGAAAAGTCCTCTCATGCTCAAGAGTGCAAATTACTACAATACCAATGGGCAGCAATTGACAATTCCTACTTCTGCGGATTTTTTCTATGGATATACTTGCACCATGTTCAGAAGAACATATGTACAAGTTTACCCACTGGATCACTATTTGTAGAACAAAAGCTTGGAAACATACTAAACCCACTTAACTGTCCACTTTACAAGAACGAGTATTTTGGTATGTAATTTTTTGGTATGTAAATTTTATCTCAACTAAACAAAAAGATTAGAAACAATCCAAGTGTCCATCCACAGAAAATGGTTAAATAAACCATGGTGCATCCATACAATGAGATACAATGCAACAGTAAACAAGAATGAGGAAGCTTCCCTGTTAGAGAAATAAGGAGCTCTACAGAATATCTCAGGAAGTAAAAGACAAGAGACAGAATATCTGCTTATATGTGCATAGAGAAACATAAAGGATATGTGACAAACTATTAACGTGGTTACCTATGAGGCAGAGGTAAGAAATGACTAGAAGGAGACATGGGTGAAACAAGGCTATTCAAAACATTCCAGGTGTACTGTTTTGATTTTTGAACTATGTAAACATATTGCCTATTCAACACACTACCTATTATTAACTCAAATATATTACCTACTAATTCTTAATGTAAAATTTAGTAAAAAAATGCAGACGCCATGATTCTTTACTCTGTTTTAGAAAATGTATCTTTTTGTGATATGCAATAAGGTATACTGGGGGAAACTACCATAGACCAACACACTAAAGAGTGAAGGGGGAAAAAAAATACCCAGCTCTGACAACTTCGTTTGCGTCAAATGCCAACTAGTTGGTAAACACACACATTAAAATGCACTCTGGAGTGGAGGTAGAAGGTGCTTGTGTTTGACTGTCAGATCTGGCTAACTGCTGCTCCTTGGCCTGATGTACAGATAAAATCTGCACAGCTGGACCCTACCTCACACTGCTCAGCTCACACACTTCTTTGCTGTCACACTGGTGTCAAACATGTCAGGCTGCTCACAAATGCCGCACAGAAGCCAGAGAGTGCAAAATCCAACCTTCCCCACCTGGTAGGAGGACATGAAGACCCTTCCATGAGGACTACGTCCCTTTTCAGAGCTCTAGCAAGGAAAGAAAACATACACACAAGACCTTAAGAAAAACACACTGCAACTCAAAACCATAAAGGTTTAAAGTTGGAGGTTGAACTTTAACCCTAATCCTCTGACTCCTGTGAAAAGTTAAGCTCTATCTGAGCTTGCAAATCTTGTCAAAGAGAGACATGGTTGAGAATCATACAGTTATTATATTAAAAAGATTAACCGGATTAAGACTCATAATAGGAGGGGGTATCTCACCTATAAATAAAATGTATTTTCTTCAGTCTCATCAGATTATGCTGCTAACTACTCTTATTCTTTAACCATTTTTCATTTTCCACATAATTTTTCACCTATGAATCGTATTTTGTCAGGTTTGATAAAAATTTAATTTTGTTCTCTGATTTTTTTCAACATACAACCACAAATAAAGGCTTGTAAAAACAATCATCTGATCTTCTGAGGGTTTCAAATAATAAGTGGAAAAATTGACCTAGTCCTTAAGCAGGGCGTTGAGTAAGTAAAACCTCCCTGAGGAAGACACATCAAAACATTAGCCACAAGGATGAGTAAAAAAAAATAGCTAAGCCAAAAGAAGTATAAATAAATATTTCATATACATGTATGCCAGATTTGCTTTAAATGAAAGGGGAAAAAAAAGTACTTCAACCACTTCAAGAAACTCAGTATTCACTTTCCTATGCTCACTGAAAATAATGGCATGGTGAAAATAAACAGAATTTGGAGGAAAGAGTAGAATTTGAGTCCAGACTCATCGCTTCCCACATGTGGTACACTCAAATAGACCTCTCCGGGTTTCAGTTTACTCATCTGTAAAACACTGTTTCATAGAGCACTATGAAGATGAAATAAAATCACTTACGTATATTAGTGCATTTTACAAATGATAATCCATGCAGATATTAAGGAAATCACATTCAAATAGGGGGTGGGGTCTGCATAACAAAGCATGAATTAAGAAGCCAAAAGATAGTTCTAATGCCAGTTCTACCCATCTAGATAAATAATTTGGAATAGTCTCTTATCTCTATGTGAGGTGAATGAATGAATGAATGAATGAACACATATACAGATCTAAGAACAGGGTCTGGCACATAAAAAGCCCTCAATACACTTTGGCAG